TAACTGGTAAACTCAAAAAAAGTCGGAAATGCAGTCAACCAGCTCGAATTGGCCACCTGCCGACATACTCATAGACGACAGACTGAATCACGCGCTACTGTGGGCTAGCGACTATAGCAGGGAGTCACCGCAATCGAGATCGAGACTAAATGAGATGGACGAGGAAAGAGGTCCGGAGAAGAATCGGTAAATCTCAACGAATACCGTAAAAAAATTTAGACAAATCTATTTCAAGAAAATTTGCTCTCAGACCCGATGCATCTTCCTCACCTTCCAAGTCTGCTTCAAAACCACGACGTTATTCAAGACTCTGAATCTTCTGTTTCTGTCAGTCTGCCCTTTCGACCTTTCTCGATCCGGGAACATCTTTATCTGCTCTTGGTCTGTCCTTTATCTGCTTATTTGATTTTTCCTCTTCTGTGACTGTCTCTCCGCGCCCCCACATCGACCTCGCCTCCCTCTCTCTTATATCTCTCTCATCTTCGCCTGTATGAATTCGTTTCCGAAAAGCTACTGCTTATATGGTATTCCTATTGTGGCTTATTTCTCTCTCTTGCTCTCTCTCTCCTCTCTCTCTCTCTCTCTCTCTCTCTCTCTCTCTCTCTCTCTCTTCTCTCTCTCTCTCTTGTCTTCCTCCTCGTCTTCTCTCTCTCCTGTCTCCTCTCTCTCTCTCTCTTTTTTTTCTTTCTCTCTCTCGCTTCTGTTCTCTTCTCTTTCTCTCTCTCTCTAACCTTCTCTCTATTTTGTCCGTCTATCTGATCCGTCCATCCCCGTTTAGTCTCTCTCTCTCTCCTCTCTTCTCTCTTCTCTCTCTCTCTCTCTCTTCTCTCTCTCCTCTCTCTCTCTCTCTCTCTCTCTCATTCCTTTGCTGTGTGTGTGCGGACGGGTCGTGTGTGTGTGTATAAACGCGCCCCCCCCCCCTCTCTCTCTTTCTCTCAACTCTATATATTGTTTTACGAAGCTACTTATTATGACAATTGTGATTTTTATTTCTTTTTTTTTCTCTTTCACATCGTTCTTTCTTTTTCTCTTTTCTCTCTCTCTCTCTCTCTCTCTCTCTCTTCTTCTTCTCTCTCTCTTCGTCTCTCCTCTCGATACTCTCTCTCTCTTCCTCTCTAGATCGCTCTGACCCTCCCTCGCTCTTGCCTGCTCGCCATCCATCTTACGCACCCTTACTCTCACCTCCTCCCTCCCTCCTCACTCTCTCTCCCTCCCTTCCCCTCTTCTCTCTCTCTTTCTTATTCTTTCTTTTTTTTCTTTATTAATCCTGTGTACCGAGGTGTTTACTTCGCCTCAACACGCCGATATTTCCGCTTATCTCTTGAGGCCGAGGAAGAGTAATACGATATTTTACCGAAACTATTTTCCAGCCAGGCTACAAATTGGGAAAAGAACGATACGCACACACACACAACATACATACATAAATACACCCACCTCACACACACGCGATACACACCACATACATACATACACACTCACACACACATTACATAATTACATACACACACACATGCTCGCATAAACAACACACACACACACACACACACACACACACACAACACAACACACACACACACACACACACACACACACACACACACCACCACACAACATAATTATATATATATATATATATATATATATACTATATATATTACTTTATATATAATATATGTATATATATATATATTATATATAGTATATATATATATTACATAATATATATATATATATATATTATATATACTCGTGTATTTTCTTTCTTCTTTTCTATCTATATATTCCCTTATCTTTTTTATGCTATCTATGATTCCAATAAAAGAAAAAAAAAAGTTAAATTAAGATAAATTAAGAGCAGAAGAAAAAGAGACAAGAAAATAATTCAAGAACAGAAAAGGAGAAGGATAAAGAAGATAAAAAATAAGAGAAAAAGAAAGAAAGAGCGAGGAAAATAAGAGAGAAAAAAAGAAATAAGAGAGAAAGAGAGAAGAAGGAAAAATAGAAAGAAAGATGAGACTAGAAGGAAAAATAGAAAGAAAGAGAGAAGAAGGGAAAAGTAGAAAGAAAAGAGAAGAAGGAAATAGAGAGAATAGAAATAAGGAGAAAGAAAGAAAAGAAAAAACTAGAAGAAAGAGGAAGAAGGAAAATAAAAGAGAAAGAGAGAAGAAGGAAAATAAAAGGGAGAAAGAGAGGACTAATAGAAAAGGAGCAGGGAAAGGGAAAAGAAAAAATAAGAAGTAGAAGTAGGGAAGATAAGAACAAAGAGAGAAAGAGAGATTAATTAAAAATGAGAGAGAAAGGAAAAGAAAAATAAGAAACTAGGAGATAAGAACAAAAGAGAAAGACAGATTAATAAAAATGAGAGAGAAAGGAAAAAGAAAAATAATAAGAAGGAGACAACAACACCCAATAAAAAAAAATAATAACTTCTAATAAACCACACTATCAGGCGGTAATCAGGGTCGGACCGGAAGTAGAATCTTAAGATGTTTCGCTCGATCTTCCTCCTTCTTCTTTGTCTTCGTTTTCTTCCTCTTCCTCTTCCCCTTCTTCTTTTTCATCATTATCTTCTTCTTCTTCTTTCTACACTTCCTCTTTCTCTTCCTTTTTAATAATCTTCTTTTTTCTTTTTCCTCCTCCTCCTTTTTCTTCCTTTCTTCTGCTTCTTCTTTCTTTTTCGTCTTCTTCTTCTTTTTCCTCCTCCTCCTCATCATCATCATCTTTTTCCTCCTCTTCTTCCCCTCCTTCCCTCTTGTTTTTCATGTTCTTTAACTTTCCCTCTCCCGACTTTCTCTACTTCCTCTCTCTCTCTCTCTTTCTCGCTCTCTCGGCTCTCTCTCTCTTTTCCTCCTCACAAGAAGTCTCCTCCTCTCAATTCTCTATCGTCTCTCTGCTCTCTTCTCTCCTCTCTCTCTCTCTCTCTCTCTCTCTCTTCTCTTCTCTTCTCACTAGCATTTCTTTCTCTCTTCTTCTCCTTCTCTCGTTCTCTCTCTCTCTCTCTCTCTCTCTCTCTCTCTCTCTCTCTTCTCTCTCTCTCTCTCTCCTTCCTCTCTCCTTCTCTCTCTCTCCCTCTCCTCTCTCTCTCTCTCTCCTCTTTTCTCCTTTTCTCTTTT